GAATGTTACACTGCTTACATAGCTAGTACAGAAGCCGGTATTAGAGTAAATCCGAAGCGATTTTGGAGCTTTGTCAAGCATCGCTCCAGGTCTGGCACTATACCTGGCTATTTAACTTACGGTGACGTCACGTTGTCCTCCACAATGACTATCTGCGAAGCATTCTCCACCCACTTTCGTTCTACCTTTCTAGAGCCGGACATTGACTCCCATGTGTCTCAAATTCGTGACCATGACGTCTCGACTGCATCTGACATTCATTCTATTGAAATTAATGTCGATTCAATTATGAGATTGTTGTCTAACCTCGACCCTCACAAGGGCGCTGGGCCTGACAAGATGTCGCCCAAATTTCTTATTAAGTGTGCTAAATCTATAGCTCTTCCAGTTTCCCTATTGTTTACCAAATCTCTATCTACAAGTACTGTACCTCAAGTCTGGAAGTCTGCCTATATTACACCCGTGCATAAAAAAGGCCCAAAAACTGAAGTCACCAACTATAGACCTATCTCAAAGCTATGTATCTTAGGCAAGGTATTTGAGAGGGTGATATATGATCAGGTCTACGCGGCTCTTAGGAATAGTTTCAGTCCCTTCCAACACGGTTTTTTGAGGGGTCGTTCGACTGTTACGAATTTGGCTGTACTGAACGATTTCGTGTCGCAAAGCATGGATGGTGGAGCTCAGGTTGATGTAGTTTATACAGATTATTCGAAATGTTTCGATCGAATAGATCATAGAATTCTCCTATCTAAATTGTTGCTTGCAGGTATCCACGGGGATTTGCTTCGTTGGTTCGCATCATATCTTGCATACAGGACTCAGGCCGTTGTTATCAATAATTATATATCTAGTTGGGTACCCGTTCCTAGCGGGGTCCCACAAGGCTCCTTGTTGGGCCCCTTACTCTTCATATTATACGTGCACGACATCGATTCTTGTTTCCATTCTTCTCATCTACTCTGTTTCGCTGACGACATGAAGATTTATTCAGCTGTCTCATGCTTCAATGACATGGTGGCTCTTCAGTCGGATTTGGATCGACTAGATGAATATTGTCAGCGTAACAAACTGGACCTGAATCCTACAAAGTGTTCAGTTATTACTTATAGTCGCAAACGTAGTACATTGCCAACAACTTATAGGTTGAGAATGCAAGTGTTACCCAGAGTTGATGTAGTGAGGGACTTGGGCGTTTACCACGACCGTAAACTTCTGTTTGATGACCATATTCAAGAGATAGTTGGTAAGGCATATAGAGCTCTTGGATTTATTATGAGGGTCTCTAAAGATTTCAAACAGGCAAAAACGCTCAAGATTTTGTACTGCACTTATGTAAGAAGCCACTTGGAATATGGATCGCAAATATGGAATCCTTGTTACAGTACACACATCCAGCGCTTGGAGGCAATTCAACAGCGCTTTATTAAATTTCTTTGCTTCAAACTTCATGTTCCATATAGCTCAGACAAATATCTAGAATTGTGTAGGCAGTTTCATATTCTACCCCTTACTAATCGCCGTCGAATAGCGGATTGTACCACACTACTAAAAATCATCTCAAATGAAATTGACTGTCCCGATCTCTTGTTCAAACTCTCTTTCAATGTCCCATGCAGATCTATTCGCTACAATCCCCCACTTTTAATTCGAAATTCCTCAACGAGGTATAGGCAGAATTCCTTTATTATGCGTGCAAGCAGAGACTTAAACAACTTGTGTAAGGAGTATCCAATAGATCCGTTTGTAACGCGGACTTCTGCGGTGCGAAGGATGCTCACTCTTCAGTTTTTTAATTGATGAATAAATTAAGTCAATTTATTATTAATTTGTTATTGTCGGTAGTATGGTTGGTGTGTGTTCACTTTTTAAGTTTATATTTAGTTGGTATATGCTCTTGTTGTTTTGTTTTTTTTAATTATTATTTTCTTTCCCTAAATGTAATTTGTTTAGACTGTGAGTGTTTTTTTAATTGAATAATGTGAAATCTATCCGTGAAAACCTGTAATTGGCTTTCTGGTGTTATTATAATATCTGTTTGTTTGCCATGTGTAGCTGTTGGTTTTCCTATCCATAAATAAAAAAAAAAAATATTTATCCGAAAAATAACATTACGCCTTTTTATCCCCGAAGAGTTAGGCAGAGGTGTACATTACAGCACTTAATGTCACTGTACAATGTAACACTCACTTTTCAGTATTTATGTTACGAGTCCCATGTAATAGGGGTGACCCTATTGCCATATACAAGGCACAATTTCAAACTCCGTGCAACTACTAAGATTTTTTAAAAGCCCAGTAATACTTTGCGCGACCCGGGAACTAAACGCGGGACACCTTGCCCGGCAGACGCACTTGCGACCACTCTGCTAAAGAGGCAGTATTTTGCCGGTTCTCGACTGTGAGGAAATTGCTCATGCAAATCTGTCTCATAATAGATCACAAACCATTTATTTATACATTATAAAGTGAAGACGCAAGCCAATCAAGCGAAAGTTACTTTTTCCTTATAAATTATTGACTGCCGCCAGAAAAGCGAAAGGCATCAATTTTAGGCGAAAAATCACCCATCTATAACTGCGAGGTGTGATAGCTGGGTTTCCTGACTGTTATAATATTGTTGTCCGTCGTACAAATTATTGGTCCTTCGGGGCCCCTGAGGATGTAGGCTCTGGGCACGGGCCCCGAGTGCCCTATGGTAAAGATGGTACTGGGTGTTACGGCAACAGGACCATGTCCCAAATTCAATAGTAGATACCTAATAATATAAGAATGATTTTTTTCTTTTCCTCTTATAATATCTTCTGATTCACTTCGTTGCGGGAATCAAGACTCATGTCCCTGCGACGCGCCGGACTTCAGTGTTCCGATGTTTTCATGGTTGTATCTACTGTAGATCCTGGCTTACAAGAGTTGTAGCGGTTTTGGGAGGTTCCAATATTAAAAAAAAAACTAGTTCCCTTATGGCATCGAGAATTTTTTCTTTATTGAAATATAGTTTCCTTTTTCTTGTATAGAAGCACTATTTTTATGGATTGTCAGTATGCATATTATGTGAGCACCATGTTAGACTTAAGATTTTTTATTTTTTTTTTATTTTAGTAAGTTATTAGTATAATGCGTCAAGCGTGTCTTTGCATTGTTCTTACATATGCGTACAGTATTGAAATATGTATCAGAGACATTGTAGAACATACTTTTTTTTAAATAGAGTAACGAATGGAGTTTCTTTCTCGATCTTTACCATTCGAATCTACATTTAGGAATGAGCGCCTCGTTTCACCTAGCCTAGTTTCACTGACGGACTGACCGACATTATTTATTAGAATAAGAATAATTTATTTAGCAAAACAAAGGACAAGTATACCTATTATTTAACAGAATGCGATAATGAATACATAGAAAACACAATCACAATTGCAAGGTAGACCAAAAAATACTAGTTTATAATGCATACATGCAAGTTAACATAAGCAGTGTCATTTCTGTAGTATCAATAATACACAGCAATCATAGAATACACCTTGCAAACAAAAGTAATTTAACTCAGTAATTCACAAGACAATGTGTTTGATACCAAAAGTGTAACAGTTTTCTATTGGCAGTAAAAGCTTTAGCTTTAGAGTTCCTATACGAATTGCCACCGGGTAAAATGAAATCAAGAACATTGAGGAAGGAACCTTTATCCAGCAGAGGCCATTTTCTGGCTGTTGATGAAGAAATGAAAGGGAATCAAATCAAAAGTGAAATAAAACGAAATAAAACATTTCTTAAATTATTTATTTAAGTAAAAAACTTATTAACAGTACCTTTAAGGTGTATAGATTTCACATCTGCTCTTAATTAAATCTAGATTAATATAAAATACTCAAACGCTCAAGAATAAATAAAATATTGGTATACATAGGTAAGTTACATTACATGTAGACATGGAAGAGAACAGCATTAACATAAACGCAAATGCGACAGGTGTCCGTAAGCCCCAAACTATATCTTACAGGCACAGCCTGTATCTTGGTGGCCCACTGGTAAAGGTTTAGACTAGTCAGTTCTCACATCATGGTTGTGACACAGTGCAACCATATAACTAATCTATTTATTTAATACACTAGCTTTTACCCGCGGCTTTTCGCTCGCGTCACAAAAGGATAAAAAGCCAATGTGACATATACCAATACACACAGCGCCATCTATACCAATACTATTGTTTTCCCTCGGGAATATCAAATTTTTCCGGGATAAAAAGTACCCTAGTATTTAATCCGGACTTCTAACTATACATTTTCAAAAAATCAAAGCAATCGGTTTAGTAGTTATGGCGTGAAAGTGAAACAAACAAACTCACTTTCCGATTTATAATATTAGTAAGGATTATTTATCGGTTTTATTTTGTGTATATAGTTTTAAGTAAATAATAATAAACGGAACAATAATACGAAAATGATAAACAACAGATTTTAAGATTTAAATATATTTGTTGCTTCAAATCTAGGTAAGTATACATAAAAATGTTTCGTCTAAATGTATGTAAGCGCATCAGTTATGAGTCCCATGTAATAGGGGGTGAGCGTATTGCGATATACCGGGCACAATTCCAGACTCCGTGCTACTGCTGAGATTTTTTTTAAACCCAGTAATATAAATTAAATAAAACGACTTGTGCTGCTTGCGATACGAATAGAAAAAGGGACGATTTATTTCAAAAAGGAACGAATTTAAACAAATGAATGAACAATGAACATAATCAATAGTACACTCACAAAAAAGTAAAACAGAAGAAAGTTACATCTGTTACTCACTAGATGGCATAGGTGGTCATTTCATGTACATTTTAAACAACAAATCCTTTGCCCGGCAGTCGCACTTGCGACCACTTGGCCAACGAGATAGTCTTAATATATTTTCTTATCGTTTTGTCAGCAAAACAAATATAAATATAATTGAAAATTTGTAATTTTCTTTGAGAGTATAACAAAATTTTGACAAGTCTGTAAAGTATGTACATTATTTTTGCACGCCGATGTTGAAGGCAAAATAAGAGGACGTGAATAAAAAAAAAAAATAATTATGCTAACTGAATCCTTATTCTGTTTTTTCTAACTGTTGCGTTTTGATTTCTCGTGTGCTGATCTATGGGAGGGGTCTGTAAAAAACATAACAATTACCTTTATATATGAACACAGTGCTAGTGCTTATAAATAATAAATTCTGCCAGCAACTTCGCTCGAGTTCTCTTGACTTAAAAAGAATCCAAGTGTGAACCCAATCGGAGTCGCGGAGAACCTAACAGGTTGCCGGGGCTCCGGCTCGACGTGCAGGAGAAGGAACGGGGTGGTTTTTAGTCGGTAAGAGTCTGACACTCCCTCCCGCCTCACCCGGGCGGGAGCAGTCATTTGATGATTTAAATTTTTAAAAGAAAATTAAATAAGAAAATTTCCCAGAATTTATTTAAGAAATAAGTATGCTGTTTGACGGTAAAAAAACGTGACGTCACAATACACAATATCGTACAAAGTTCATAGAAAACTGTCGTTTTTGACAGTTCGCAAAAAGTATTGAATTTGACTAGTTGGCGAGTACCCATTTGCGTGGGGTACAGTAACTGTGTCTAGGGATTGAGCCGCACAATTGAGTTTGTTTTTTCGTGTATATACTTTTTCGTGATAACAATTACCCAGTTTAGTACCGAGGACATTAAAGTATAATCATACGAACGAACTTAAGTGTGGGCTCGCCATGCTTCGGCACGAATGGGCCGGCTCGACCGGAGTGATACCACGCCCTCACAGAAAACCGACGTGAAGCATCGCTTGCGTTGTGTTTCGTCGTGTGAGTGAGATTACCGGAGGCCCAATTACCCCCCCCCCCTTCCCCAATCTCCCCAATCCCTGAATCCCCATCGATCCTCAAACTCCTAATCCCCAAAATGCCGGTAACGCACTTGTAATGCCTCTGGTGTTGTAGGTGTCCATGGGCGACGCCGATTGCTTACCATCAGGTAATCCGTCTGCTCGATTACCGGTTAATGCCATAAAAATAAATAATATAAATAACGAAGTTTCATCATAATAGGGCCGGTAGTTTTTGCGTGATGCGTGAACATACAGGCAGACAGACAATCAAGTAGTTACCCCTGCTATTTATTTTTTATTATATGTATAGAGGGCCGTTCATCATCAACAGCCTATAAATGCCCACTGCTGAGCAAAGCCTCTTCTCACACGGAGAAGGTTAGAGCGTTAATCACCACGCTTGCTCAATGCGGGTTGGTGATTTCAAACTTATAATTAGAAATTATAAAGTCCAGGTTTCCTCACGATGTTTTTCCTTCACCGTTTGTCAGTGGTGTCTAAATAATCTTAGAAAGTACATATAACTCGGAAAAAGTCACTCGGAAAAAGACACACACAAGAGGGCCGTTCAAGTATTGCGTAAGCACCATGGGGGGGGGTCTTTGTTTTGCTTATTTTGGATGATATGGGGGATAGGGGAGTCTAGATGATGATTACGTCATCGGTAGTTATTTACTTTTTTACACGAATGGCAACCCTCATATTGAAATTATAAATTACAAACAAAGACCGACAAAGAACGACACATTATAGTATCTAAGAGAATATTAAAATTACAATATGTATAAAAAATATATAATTTAAAATGTTTACGTAAACAAAGGGGGAGGGGGTAACATCTTTGCTTACTTTTACTGACAAGGGGGATGGGGGGGGGTAAATAATTGTAAAAAAATCTGCTTACGTAATCTTTGAACGGCCCCTAGATAACTTACATGTTCGTAGTTTTCCTCGTGGCTCAGTCTTCAAGTATAATGTCTTTAAATCTTCAGTCTCACATTGTTGCTGGCTGTAATATACAGAGTATACCTAAAAAACTGAACTGGAAACATTCATAAAGTGTTTTTTTTTTATGGATTTTGAGGCAAACGAGCAGACGGATCACCTGAAGTTAAGCGACCAGCGCCGCCCATGGACACCCGCAACACCAGAAGGGTCACAAGTACGTTGCCGGCCTTTTAAAAAGGAGCTCTTTTATTGAAGTTTTTTTTTATTTGGATGAATATAGTGTGGATAGTGAAATCATCAACAGCCTATAAATGCCCACTGCTGAGCAAAGCCTCTTCTCACACGGAGAAGGTTAGAGCATTAATCACCACGCTTGCTCAATGCGGGTTGGCGATTTCAAACTTATAATTAGAAATTATAAGTTCAGGTTTCATCATCATCAACAGCCTATAAATGCCCACTGCTGAGCAAAGCCTCTTCTCACACGGAGAAGGTTAGAGCATTAATCACCACGCTTGCTCAATGCGGGTTGGCGATTTCAAACTTATAATTAGAAATTATAAGCCCAGGTTTCCTCACGATGTTTTTATCACCGTTTGTCAGTGGTGTCTAAATAATCTTAGAAAGTACATATAACTCGGAAAAAGTCACATTGGTACTTGCCGTTGGTAGGTTTCGAACCCGCACACTCATGCATGAGAAGTGGGCGTCTTAAACCTCCGGGCCACCACGACATAGATAGTGAAATGGATATAGTAAATTGATTGTCGTCGAATGTTGCTCATAAATATGAGCCCAGCGGTAAATCCGTTCTTTGAGGAGTGGCTTGAGAGACGCTACTGCGTCCTCACCTACCGCCTGACGCAGGTCCTCACCGGACATGGAAGTTTCGGAAGGTACCTGTGTCTGATGGGGCGGGAGGAAACGCCCGGGTGTCATCATTGCGACGACCGCCCTGAGGACACGGTGGAACACACAGTACGAGATACGGAGCCGCGGAGCACTTAACAAGTTACCGGGGCTCCGGCTCGAAGGCCAGAAGTAGCAACGGGGTGGTTTTTAGTCAGTAAGAGTCTGACACTCCTTCCCGCCTCACCCAGGCGGGAAAGGTCATTCGATGATTTTTCCACCTTAAAAAAAATCAGGTGTCCATGGGCGACGCTGTCGACTTCGACTTCGACATCGACTTGTGAAATGACTTACTCTGGTGATGATGATGGTTCCTGTACAGGTATATCAGCTACATCAGGCTTGGTGTCTTCATTGTAGGCAAGGGGATTTTCCTCACTGTAAAATATATAAAACTAATTTATTGTGTTTTTATTGATCTTATCTTATACTATTATAAAAAGCGTTTGTTTGTTTGTTTGTTTGAACGCACTAATCTCCGTAACTACAAGTCTGATTTGAATAATTCTTTATGTGTTGGATAGCGCATTTATCGAGGATGGCTATAGGCTATAAAACATCACGCTACGACCAAAAGGGGCTGAGCAGAGCGTGTGAAACCGCGCGGAAGTAGCTAGTGTGTTATAAACTTTTACTGCATGAGACCGAATGTTTAAATGCAGTTCTTACTAACTATCAAAGTCAAAATCATTTATTTTAATTAGACCAGAAAGGAACTAAATAACTAAAAATCGCGGGTACTCACGTGACAATACCGAGAAGAGGTTTACTAATTACAACCTAAAAAGGTTGACTTTAACTCGTCGAGTACCGTCATTATAGACACAATAGGCGTGTCGACAGGGTAAAAAAATCAAAAAAGTAATTATAATAATAATAATAATAATAATGTTTATTAACCATAATTTTTACAGTAACTCTTATATATAAAATTAATCGTTACAACATCATATAAAAAGTGAGTACTTAAGATGAAACTATGGTACCCAAGGTAAGATCAAACTTGTGTTATGGGTACCACCGTTGTCCTTCTTCATTTGCACAAACTTAAGTTGTTGGACGAACACTTCAAACAGGTTTAGACTGGAATAAACATTATTCTAATATACTGAAAATATCAGACACGTATTTTTTGTTTTATCAAATTAACAGAAGAATACGTAGTTATTCCGCATTAAAGTTAGGGAGTGGGGGGTGTTGACGTCACACTTACGGAGAAATCGTACCTAATTGTGACGTCACGCGTCATTTTAACTCAAAATATCTACATGTTTTTTTGGATACGAGAAAAAAGAAAAAATACGTATCGAAGATTTTTAAAATATCTAAAAGACGGACAAAAAATTAAAAAATAGTCGCCATGCCTATT